TTTCCAACCTTAGTGATTCTGTGAATTCTAGCCATTAGGCTTACAAAATTAGATAGACTATACTAAAGCACCACTGTAATGAACACATAGATGGGACAATGCTTTTGGCATGTACATCTGCCTGCCAGAAACAGGTTTCCCTGCATCTACTACCATCTCATGCTATCTTCCAGCTCTGTCCTCAAGTCCTAGACATGATGGTAGAATTGTTCCTCAGTAATCGGAAGCCAACAGCCATTTTGGTAATATGCAGGACCTGTAATGCTTAGGTTCATTTTCCTCCAGTTCTAAGGTCCCTTTCTATTTTTTTAAGCAGACTGTCATTATTATAATTTGAAAGTGACTGGAGTGGTGCCTAAATATCCAGAAAACGCTAAGAGTCCAAAGGAAAGGCCATAAAAAGTCATAGCTTCACACAATCCAAGGTCAGGACTTTTCACAGTGGCCAGTCACAAAGTTAGAAGATGATGCTGCAGAAGACCACCAAAATGAGATATTGGTCTGCTTTCTTAGGAAGGAGGAACTCATATGTAAATCCTTTGTAGTCAGAGAATGTCATCACCACCACAGAATTAAGTCAAGCTGGCTTAGGAAGGGGGCTTGAATCACCCCCATGAGCTGATAGGAGGAAAAGAAAATACAACCCTGAAAGCAAATGCACATGTACTCCTAGCCTAATGTAATAGTGCATTCAACCATGGATAACCCATTTCTCCATGGATAACTCATTCCTCCCCCATCTCTTACTAGCTATAACCTGGTTACAGGTTTTACTTGAGATGGCAGTTCTTTCATTCTAAGATTACATCATACAAACTCTAGCTGTGAATTTGTAAGGCTGGAGAAAGCAAAAAATTCTACAATTTACTGGGAATGAATCACAGAACAGCTCATCTTTCTGCAGCACAATGAACCGTAATAGTTACAAAGGAAGCACACAGAGAGAAACAACTGTAATGACTTCCACAGGTTAAAATATAAATCTCCTTCATCAGCTTTAACTGCAATGCTTTTAAAATCTCTGTGAATGCCCAAGCAATCCTGTCTCAGTATTCCACATACTTGCACTGCATTGCTTTATGTTCATCTCTTTAAGTCTGGACAGTGGCTGAGTGAAATGCAAGCACAGATCTGTTAACTTTCCAAAACACAAAGAATTTGTTTTGGGTTTTTTTCTGCATCCAAGAAGAGAAAGTTTAAATGCTAGCCAAAACTCACCCCCAAGACCCCAAATCTTTCACAAAAGTTCCAGCCACAGAGAAAGTCAATTTCAAAGTTGTGATTAAGGATTACGATGGCATTCTCCTTCCCATAGTTGTGGTAACTCTCGGGGTCAGTGTAGAGGGTGCAATCAGTGCCTGACCACCATTCCAGCAACATCACCATCTCTGGAATAAAGAACAAGAAATATATGAATGTGTGTAGTATATGCAAAGCCACAAATTAGTAACATGTTGAAAAGCCTCAGTTACCTCAACAGCACATGGCAAGGAAAGGGCTGTAATCAACTTGAAATGCTGAACATAAACCACACAGTCACACATCTTGGTACAGCAAGGTGGGGGAACAGGGGAGAGAAGGGAAATAAGGAGATTGCATGGAAAGAGGGAGCAGAACTTTCCACAGTGCTATAGAGAATAAGGAGTTTCATTTATTTGAAAACTGCAAATTCAATCCTGCAAATTTTTTTTATCAAAATGTATGTAAAATTAGCATTTATAATTTACAACAGTACAATAGAATTACATAAAGAACAGAACAAGCTTGTAGGAAAAACAAACACACCTATTCCTGACACAGAAGTCCTCATGCTCCTCTAAAAACTGCACCATTATCGACCAGAAAGCAGATTGGACAAGACACCTGAAACCAGGTCAGTTACATGTACACCTTCTGCATCATCCTGTTAACTTGTCAGAAGTAACAGTCATATGCCCTGCTGCAACTGATGCTTTCTACATTTGACAGGAGTCTATCAATCATCCAGAGCTAAGCCAATAGCTCAGACTGGATGAAGAACATCCATCCTCAGACCAAAGTCAAGGTGGGTGGCTGGCAAAGTGTGCAGAGCCAAGAATAGTTATTAATAGTATAACTATCTGCACATCCCTTAGTTGATGAACTGATCAAGCAAACAGGGACTGAGGAGAAGTGGGGAAACAGGGAAATCTCTGTTAAATACCTCAGAATCACTCTGGATTGGCACCCAGATTTGTTCCCAAAACCCAATTGTAAAAATGATGCAAGGATTGGTAGGACAGTGAGGGCTGTTTAAAACACAGATGTACTTAGAAGCTGGAGAGTGGTTTCGCAGCAGTCCCCTAGTGACTATCATATAGCTTTCACCTTCCTATTTGCTTATCCCATTATCAAGCACAGGCAAAAAGTAGGCTTTGTACTTGTTTTACTTGTAACTATAAGCCTGACCATAAGACTTGTGAATCAAATCTTTATTTAGCAAGGTCTCTCTGGTCTGGGGCATGGGAAGATGAGGTGAGTCAGTAAAGCCAACAAGTTTGGAAAGCTCTATCTCCATGGAGATGGAAAAAGAAAATCTAAAAGCCATGGCTCTCCTCAAGCAAACCATGTCCTGAGCTGGGGGAACCACGGGACTAATGAGAGCTGTCTGTCAAGACAGAAAGGAGGAGTTTAAGGAACACGTCTGCTTCCTGTCAAAGCTATCACAAAATTTCTGCACCAAAGCAATGATCTAATGTGAGGGGTTATTCTCTGCTAAGTGAAACGTATCCCCTTTCAGAGCATATCTCTGCCACATGAATGTCTCTGCTGGAAGGATGAGACATCTGAGATGCTCTCCTGGCTTCAGGCAAGACCAAAAGCACCACAAATCCTCATTCACCTCAGGAAAGATCAAAACCAGGCCAGTCTTTGAAACGCTTCTGAAATCCTTTCAATTTAAGTCCACTACTGGCCTCAACTAGTGATCAAAACCAGAAAACAGCCAGGAAGAAGTCACCTACATTTTCAGTCATCACTAGCAAAATTCATTGCCTGAAGCTTTTGGATGACATTGTGCTGTACACTGGAGAACAGGCATTAGTGACATGAATGAATTTTATCTAATAGTGTTACTGCCAGCCTAATAGACAATTTCTATTCAAATAATACTACCTTAATATGATAAAACCACGTTTATGGTACAGATAAATGACTGACTTGTCAGTCCCCCTGCTTATTTCTAATCAGGGCAGGTAGCTACTACCGTGGCAGAAATACATATTATTCAAAGCATGCTATTATGCATCAAAACAATAGTCAGAGATGCAGAGAGAGACCTAAAATGCCATATGTTAACTAAGCAATGATTTCACTGGTTGGAAACAGGTTCGCCAACAAAAGCCAAAGATGTTCACATCTCCGTGAGAGAGCTGTGGAGATACCAAAGCATCTACACAGCTGTGCTTCCAGACTTCCTCTGCTAACAGCTGTCTTGTGACACGCATTCACAATTTTACATCCTTCTAAGGGTGTAGCTTTCTATTAGATTTGTATGGGAAATAAAAGCCCTCCACTGCCCAAAACACAGCAACACTGAAAAATAACTGGGGAAAAAAACCCACACTAATTTGCAAACCCTTACAGAATCCACAGGCACATCCTGGGGCAGAACACAATCACAGAAAAAAAAAGGACGTTAGTGACAGGATTAGTTTGTCTTTTACTAGGAATGTAGGAACCCAACTAAGAGAAGAAATTACTGCCAGATGGGATTTTCTCTTTTTTAACCTCTGCTGCCATTAAACCTATTGCCTAAAACAAACAAGTAGAGATGATGACTGTGAGGCCCTCTTGAAGAGCAAACATTTTTACTGTTAAGAGTGGTACACTATGACCATCAGGTTTATTATGAAGACCTCAACGTCTAGTTCTTCATTGGAATTAGTTATCAGCAAGGGGGAGGCGACAGCCCAAAACAAAGTCCAAAAGCTACCACTTCCAGATAGAAAGTGATCCCCAAGAAGTTTTTGGGAAGAAGTTACCAATGCTTTTACAGAAAAAGGTTAATTGAGAAGAAGAAACAACGTACATCTGTCCTGAGCACACATGTATGTTTTCCATCTTGGTGGACTGATATGAGCAACTTCTGCTTCCTCTCAAAGAAAGCATGATCTATAATATACTAAAACCAGACAGAAGATAACTGGAAAGGACAATTGTGAAGCTATGATTTCTGTCACCCCCATGATGCCTGTGTACCTCTAACCAACATCAGCGTTCCACAGACAAGTCCCTGTCTTTTTCTGTCCCACATCCCCGCTCTCCCCAAATCCACAGATACCAACCCTTCTATCTCTCACAGGCTAATGGATGAATAGATAAATTAACCTTCAATCAACTGTTCTCAATCTGAATTTAACCTGAAGATTGCAATTTCTCTTTTAAGCTTGAAGAACGCTTTCTGCATGCAAATCCTTCCCAGTTTTCCAGGTATGTCAACAGGTCTAATAAGAAACAATACTTTTGACTGCAAATCATTTACATTATCCATTTTTCTTAAGTCTATCCTAACTGTCTTCAGCCAATCAGACAACATAATCCCAAACAGTAAAGATCAGATACACTACAGCCTCCTGTTACCCACGTGGACAGCCACTACCTGTCACACTACTTCATGATGTCTAACAAACAGCACTTCATACATGTAAGCCGCACTGCCCCCAAGAAAAGTAGGTTGGGCTCCAGATGTCAGTGCCGATTTAACAGTACTGACCTACTCTTCTAGCTTGCACAAGTCTCTTAAGCAACCAGCATCATCCTCTATTTCGATTGCTATATACATGCAACTATTTCTAAAGTAAATTTGAATTTCAAAATGAAGGATTTATACACTGCACATCACCTTCTTGAAGTTTAACATAGGTTTCTGGCATGCACTTCAGTAATACGTTCTGCTGAGGTGGCCTGTTAGGATGCAGAGGGCATTCTGGAGAAGCATGCTCAGAGTGCTTCTGTCCCACCTGCTATGCGAGAGCTGTACTATGAAGCAGCCTTCCTAAATAAGAAATGTACATAAGGAGTGTATCAGGAAAGGTTTTGCTCTGTCCTTAGTAGAAGAAAGCATCTTATCTCAGGGAGCAGTAGCTGAGGTCAGGTTTCCGTGAATATTAGATTATGCTTTTTACTAAATTATTCAGTATTTGATGTACACAAACCAGGAAGTCTAGTACGTTCATCTGCACAAGCACTGACAGGCATAAGAGATGAGTGCTGGGAGAGTAAACATACAAAGAGTAAGTGAGAAACAACTTAAAAGAAGGTGTTAATTGTTCTGCAATGATCAGTAATACAGCATTTGATAGCCCTTATCAGTTAATTTTGCACAGCAACCTCTTTCTAAAGAGACAACCCACAACTTTCATACTCTAGCATACAGACCTGCCCTGGGACAAAGCAAAATACCACTTGATCCATCACACATCCCTCCCCTGGCATGCCTGGATCAAGTATGATCCTGCATCACGCCTTGCCCAGGGGAGTGTGCAAGGACTAACTTCTGTGTCCTGCTGATGGAAGTTGTTGCAGCAATGATAGTTTGGATGAACAGTTAACATATGAGGTTACTCCAATTCTCATTTTGATGGTTAGGGTGGCATATTACTGTTAAAATCCCAAAACAGAAGCTTAAATGAGAGCAGGGTGACCTATATTAAGCATAAGCAAGTGCCATCTTAAATTGACAAGACTCAAAAAATCAAATCCAATAATTATGCAGTGGTTACAAATCTGCTCCCAGACTTTAAATTATAATAAAATAATTGAAGATGCAAACACAAGTAAAACACTCACTAGGTAACAAGAAGAAACAATTACAAATATTGTTAAACACAGGAGCCACTAGATGGGCACAGCCAGTTAAGGAATTTTACCAGTTCTGACCAGGATTTCAGAAATCAGAAACACCTGATACATTTGTACACTTTTTCATGGTACAGGCCAAAAAAGAACCCACCTGCTAGTACAGAAAAGGCTAGGACAGACAGTGGAAGTGCAAGTCAGGACTGCAATTGCAGTTTTAAACAAAGTAGATTTTTGCTTCTTGTTCCTCAATAACTGAGGCCATGATATTTCTTTTTGTGAATAGACAGTATGAGTAAGTCAGGTTGATTTGGATTTAAGTGAATGGGAGAGGAGGTGAATGGATGGATAATCCATTCCACTGGGATAGACCCAGAAGTCTGTTGGATGAACCCCATACTTCATTTGCTTATAGAAGAATTTTTTTTCCATATTATTTGAGAAAACTCTATGTTATGGGTTAACCCCAGTCAGCAGCTAAGTCAAGGAGCTAGAAGAAGCTGTGCTTCTGTACCAACTATTTCCGAAGCAGCTCAACTTCCCCTGTATGTTGCTAGCATCTTTTTCATTT